TTTTTTTTTTTTTTTTTTTTTTTTTTTTTTTTTAATTTGAGACGATGCTCCAAATCTATTCGTGGGCAGCAGCGCAGCTGGGAACCGGGCCCAGCGTCCGTTATAAAAGTACAGAATCATGAAATACCGGGGACAGCACCCGGTTTCTCGACGAAGAATGCTAACCACCACTATACCTGACGTTGAAAATTCGGGGGACCGGTAGGTAGCACAGGATTGTAATAGGGCTGCAGCCTACCGGTAGCACGGTGTGGAGGACTGGCAGACAGCGGCGAAAGTGGAAAATGCGACGAATTGCCACCATGACTTATTTTGTGGTTGAGATTTGAAACAATATTTTCCTAATTTTGTGGGAATATATTTTTCCTGGAAAGATCAGAGGATCGGATCGAATGCCTGAATCTGGACGAGTTTATGGAGATGTGCAGGAAATCGAGATTGAACTGCTTTTCTGCATCTCTGCATAAAACACATCCAGATTCAGGAGCTCGATCCTATCCTTTTTGCTAGTGGGACCTCGGCCCAGGACCGAATCTGCAGACCCGTCAATTATGAGATTTTTTTTTTTTTTACTTGTTCTTCCGAGCGTGAAAAATCACGAAAGATCGCGAAAAATCACTGAAATTGGGGTACTTTTTGGGGTACTTTTCCCGGTGGCCCACAAGTCGCAGAGTGGCAAAAATGGAAAATAAAACGGATCGGTGCAGCATGGCAACTATTTCACACTCTAAATTTTTATATATTTTTAAAATATATATATATCTATTTGACGATATATATATATTTTCCTGGGAAACGACCAAATCTACAGACCCTCCAGTTTTCAGAGTCTTAGAGAATTCGGGGCATTTTTTATGTTGGCCCACACGTTATAGAGTGGCAGAAAATGGAGAATGTGACAAATTGGCGCGGCATTCATTTCATTGTCAATTTTATTTATTTATTTATTTTATTTTTTTCTGATATTTTTCCTGGAAAGATCATGACGTAATCGACAGGATCTCAAGTTTTCATATTTTTTCCTCAATTATTTTGAGCGCGAAAGGTCGCAAAATTAGGCACTTGAAAATTGCGGCACCGGACACACC